CCTCCCTTTGGAATTGGAATTTTGATTCCTAACTTAAATTGTCTTGGGATGTACTCCAATTCAATGATCTTATTATAAAGTATCAACAGCTTGGCAGCCAGAATATCCCCAGAGTACTTAATATGTTCATACGTTATGCCATCATCACCGGGAGCTTTATTATTTGGTAATTCTGTTAGCACATCCTCGATCTCTTTTAAAGTTATGGGATCCTGAAAGATATCATCAAATTCAGCTAAGGAGTTTTTTGTTATGTCACTAACCTCGATATCGATATACTCCCTGAAGTCATCATCAAAATTTGTATTTTCCTCAGGAGTTAAAAGTTTTTCATAGTAATTAGCCCACACATCTGCTATTTCTTCTGGGTTTGAGATAGTTCTTCCATCATTCGTTGTGAGCACATTAGTTGATCTTTTCTTCTTTCTACGTCGGTTTACATATTTCCAAAACCTGATGTGATCGATCTCGGAAGCCTCACTAAGCTCTTTGAAATCATTCTCCTCTGTTTAATCGCTTGAGTTCATTATTCCAGTAGGGCTTGATGGACGTCTTATACTTCGTACGAGGTAGACATTTGTCGCTGCTTTTTATGCTGCGACAGATCAAACGATAATAGTTCTCAACGTCATCACTGGTGTATAAGGTATCATCCATTGTTATGATTGTATCATTTAATCTCCTTTGATATTCTAGTACTTGTTCCGAAACACATTTTCTCCACGCAATTCGTTCATACTCGTTTTCTAAATTATTAGATGATTCATGGCAGTTTATACCAGCAGAAATTTCAATGCCAGCAACCAACGGCAGATAAATTGCACGGATGTTCGTCGCCAACTTTAACACACTTTACAATTCTTTCGATGTTCTTACTCGCAAAAATGTAATCAACAACACTGTTACCACAACTTGAGTAATACGTGAATAGCGGACCCATACAGGGCATATCCACGTTAACTGGAAACATGTCAAATTCAGCAAACATTTCAAGGAGTAGTTTTCCTCTATTACTTTCACGTTGACCTGAACGTGGATCCGATACATGTACGTTAAAATCGCCTGCAATAATGATTTGCTCTTCTCTGTAACTTAATTGAGTACACACTGCATTAAGGCAAGTTAGAGTGTCGATAAAATCAGCCAAGTTACTGTTCGTTGATGGAAAATAGATACTACAAAAAACATAATTCTGATTATTCATTCGAAATTTAATTGCTACGATCCTATCATTTCCGAGTAATAATCGTTGTGCCCTGAGATGTTTTTTCCAAACAATCGCGACGCCCCCCTGACCTCGCTTCCATCTTGTGTTCATATTATTTTGTTCGCTTGTCTTTGCATAATACAAAAAATCGTTATGTAAATTGTCTAATATAGTAAGCTCATCGGCGTATAACCAATGTTCTGAGATGGCTAAAACATCAACACTTTCAAGTAGCTTTTGCATATAAACGAAGTTCGATTTGATTCCTCCGCAGTTCCAACATGCAATGTTTATGAAGGCGGTTCTCTGGATGGATCTCTGTCAGATTTCACTGACCGTTTTTCCCATTTATCTTTGGAGAGCCATTCCCTTGCGTATACTTTTTTCGGCCAAAAATTTGGTTCAAGAATCTCCTTAATATCTGAAGCTCTGACATTTATACGCACAGCAACGGTGCCGCTTCGCCGACTTTTCATCATTCGTACGAAAGTCGGCTGAACGCCTTTTCCCTGCATAAATTCTTTTATAGTGCTCGCGTGAACCCCGTCTTTAACACCACCTAGATACAATTGTTTTGTGTTGCGCCGTTCCACGCCAATAAACTCCTTTGAGTCAACTAAACTCGCTTCATTTTGATTTTCACTTGTTTTTGAACTTCTAATTACTTGACTTTGTTTTGGACAATCGGTATTATTCGACGGCGGTCCCGGGTCATTTGCGCTCTCGCCTTTGTTACTATCATCATCATTAACTAGAACTGTATTAGTTTGTCCTTCGCTTTGTTCACAATCAATAACACTCACAATAGTAACTTGCTCATTGTCCTCATTACTGCCACTCGCTACAGCAGCGAAGGATCGTGGCTGAGTACCATTGTTAACAGCTCCCTTGGGTCCTGGGTGTGCAAGTTCAGTATTGCCAAACTCTACAGAATTATTCAAAATTTTTTTCGTTAATATTTTAATACTTTCCTTTGACTTTCTCTGTTCTGCCATTTTAGAAATATTTTCCATCTCGACGCAGATGCTTTCGCATTTCGAATTTAGAGATTCTTTTGAAGCACGGCGATTCGCTCGTAACGTCGACACCTCCTTTTCTAGCGAGTATATTTTTGAGTCTTTTTCGGCTAAATGTAATTGCATATGATTAAGTTCGTCTTTCAATTTGTCAATATCTGTTTTATGTTGAATATTTGTTTCAACAAATTTTGCTTCTAAATCTTCCACAATTTCGAGTAGTTTCTTGAGATTAGGTTGATCCAAAGCGTTCGTTTCCTTATCTCCGAGAGCGTAACTACAATCCGTATTCCTGACCTTGCGAAATATGTCCTTTAGCGCTTGACTTCCTTCGCCGCTCTCGTAAAATTTCACAAGCAATACAATATCTTGTGCGAGCTTCTCTGACGCCGACGTTCCCCTAGTTCTTGTAATTCTCCTCTGAAGTTCGCCTTTTGGACAGCAACTCCACTTAGAACGGACCAGTTGCAATACTCTATCCCTTAAACCAGCTAAACCATCGGTATCTCGTGCGATTAGCTGTCGTACGACAATCTCGCTCGATGTACTTTGCAGACGCCTTCCCAAATCATCAATAAATCCGGTCAAATTTTCGTCAGAATCACAATTATTATTACAGTCTGTTTGTATTTGAGAGTTTGTATCAACAATTGTTGATAAAGCCTCGGCTAAATTAGCCGATTGAGAGTTTCTTCGCATGGCAGGTGAAGAGCCTTGAATAATAGCTCCTTCCGTCATGACGCCATGTTGTTGACGTAAGTAAGTAAGTAAGTAAGTAAGTAAGTAAGTAAGTAAGTAAGTAAGTAAGTAAGTAAGTAAGTAAGTAAGTAAGTAAGTAAGTAAGTAAGTAAGTAAGTAAGTAAGTAAGTAAGTAAGTAAGTAAGTAAGTAAGTAAGTGAACTTTATTTAACCACGGTAGACTCATCAGGATTTACAATAAAATAGACAAGGGACATTACAAATAACAAAATATGGAAATACATTATTAATACCTGTTTTCCATGAGTGCCGTGCATTATTAACTAATGATGTAGATAGGAGTAAAAATATTAAAATTATCGAATGAAGTTGCTACAATCAGCCTTGAATTTACGTAAAGAGCTAGCCAGCCGTAATTCTGTAGGAAGAGAATTCCACAGTACCGCACCACTGTAACTAAAACTATTTTTCAAATAGTTTGTACGCGGTTGTGGTATCGCCAGTTTGCCGGTGGTGTCTCTCAACGTATAATTTGTAATGTTACTGCGATCAACAAACATTTCGGAGAGGTAATCTGGTGCAAGGCCATTCACATATTTATATACCATGATAGCTTTGGCAATCTTACGCTGAGATGCAAGATTTTTCCAACCAAGTATTTCAAACAGATAATCGGCATTTGTATCATAACTGGATGACGTCAGTACTCTTGCAGCACGATTTTGTAGTTTTTGTAGTATATCCGCACGAGTACTCCCGCAACTATCCCAGATAACTGAGCAGTAGTCGAAATATGGCTGGACTAGACATTTGTAAATCCGTTGCATTGTGGAAGGTGAAACAAAAGGTCTTATGCGCTGATCGGTTTTCTCATGCCAGAATATCTTGGATTTCTTAAGTTACAAGTTATTCCCCGATTTACGGGTACGGGTACGTGTATATTCACCCGCACCCGTAAACCGGAATCGGGTGTGATTCGTCATTTCAGCAAAGCGTGTGAAATTATAAGCTACTGCGTTGATTATGAAGAAGGATCGCGGTAGTAAGTATGGGTAATCATGTGATTTTGCGAGTACAATTAGGGATTAATCATACGAGTGATGTTTGGAAATTTTGCCAAAATTGGACGAGCCACTGGGGCGAGTCCAATTTGGCAAATTTCCAAACATCACGAGTACTATTAATCCCTAATTGTACGAGAACATCGCATGATTACTTGATTCCTATTAGCATAACAAAATTGGATATGTACTTCTCAATGTCAACATCATATTCTCTCGCCAAAGCCTAGTCCTGCCAGACTTTCAACCAAAATTTGGTGCTTTTGTTCGTATTTTCATTTAGTTCTTTTGATAAAGCAAATTTGGTGGTTTTGTTTGTATTTTCATCTAGTTCCTCTACGGCAATTTCAATCCACGCTTGTGTTTAAAATAGGTTTCCGCCATTTTGTTTGTTTTGGGAAAATCATTAATGAAATAATTGTACCACTCTCAAACAATCAGCATCCAGTAACTTTGTCATGCTAATAATAAACATTGTTATAACGTACTGGGATAAAATGAATGATTTAAATTTGGCTCAGATAGTATTGCTCAAGAAACATACAAGATAAAGGAATACTTATTTTGTTTTTTTGCAGTGCACCTTTATGTTTTATATGTAGCGTCAACCATGCTTTTGCCATTGAAAATGACATTGAGAGAATACAAAAGCGAGCGCTAAGAATAATCGTCCCTGGTATGAGCTACGATAATGCATTACGCCAGTCCAATTTGAAAACCCTGAAGGAACGTATTAAGAGATGTTATGTATGTTGACATGATTAAGAAAATGTCAACCCCCGGCCATAAACTTCACCATCTTCTCCCAATAAAGGTTTCTCAATTAAGAGAGAGGAAATGAGGACAAAGGGCTTAGAATATTATAATTATGAGTGTAGAACTAAACGATTTAGTCAGAGTCCTATCATTTATGCAATAAATAAGTACCGATTTAACTCTTTACAATTCGTAGCTTAGCTAACTCTTAGTTTCGAAGCTCTCCCGGTGTGGATGTACACTCAAGCATCATATTCATGTAACATCACAAGCATCATATTCACCTGAGTACACAACACCAACACAGGAAAAAATCATATTACTAGATTACATTGGTATGGAAGGAACTAGATTTTGTTCCGAAATAGCACTTACACGAACCGTCCTGGCCGCATAACTCAGTTGGCAGAGCATTGGACTTGTATTCCAAAGGTCGTAGGTTCGATTCCCCCCGTCGCCAGGCCTATTTTTCAAGCTCGCCTTGTGGATGTACTCTCTGAGTAACATCATGCACAAGCATTATATATATTATATATATATATATATATATATATATATATATATATATATATATATATATATATATATATATATATATATATATATATATATATATATATATATATATATACATATACACACGTAATACTCATAATGTCATGTAATATCATGTAATCCACACGCCCCTCGTGGAAATCAGGGTATGGTTGGCGGGCTCAACGTGTATCTTTTAATTAAATAAAGTTTTACAATTTTACCTACCTACCTATATACCTACCTACCTACACCAGATTCAGATCAAATTCGCGTACAAGTTGGATTGCGCTCCGTCATGCCCAACTGTGCCAATTCAGAAATTGGTTTGGTCCATAATTCATAGTCCATTGCATACATTATTTATTCTTTCTATACTGCATGCCCTACACATTGCCCACTTAATAACAACTGCGGGTATACGAAAAGTACTGTGTATAACAGTCTCTGCATAACATGTAGCTACATGTAATACTGTGTGACAGCTGTTTCGTTTCATTGAACGCTTCATTATACATATTTTTGCAATGTTTCAGTAACGTATGGTCTACATGTATTGTACCGAATTGGAGTTGGCTGAATCTATGAAGTTCTTGATTTGAAAGTAGTATATAATACATAAAACGTGTAAAAGAAATATTATGTACATCGAATAATTGTTTCAGTTCCAATTTCAATGCTATACAGTCAACGCAAAGATGATAAATGTTATATAAGTTATTAAAAAACTCATTAATAATTCAGGAGCAAAACACAAAGAAAAATCGTAAGCGTGTCATGGTTTTATATGTGATAAAAAATCATGTTAATTTACATGAACTTTAGCTTTGATTTTTTCGGTTTAGACAAAGTTTATTTTAAAAATTACTTCGCTAATGTACTCATCAGAAGATGGGTCGTTTTTTAAGCTATTTAAAGCACTCGTAGTCGTGTTATTATCACATATAAAACACTCTGCTATACGCGTCGTGTTTTATATGTGACAAAACACTCCTACTTGTGCTTTAAATAGTACTTATTCACAGTACTAGTTACTGAAATATACACTAGCTTTTGTAATAGTTTGCTTTATATATAATACTGGATGAATAGAACCTCCTCAGGCAATGGCGTGAATGCTAATTGTAGCGGTTCACCCGAATTATTCGTGTGCCCTGTTTTTGCGCGATATGTCTTGGGACCAGAGAAAGGGTTTGCGCAAACGCTATCAGTGACTCGTTGACTCATTTAGCTGCTGTTTAATTGTCTAACATGTAAAATGGAATTGACTGCACACAATATGTGAAGAAAAATACCTGTGGATACTTACTATTATTGCTTGTGGTTAATTAAAGATGGCCGTCGCCAGGCGCACCGTTTCACGGTAAAGAGAGAAGGTTTATTTCCCAACCATAGAATTAATCATGATGGACCAAACTTTGTATGCAGTTTGTTGTAAGCAAATGCATTAATGTTATATGATTGCCTTCATTTGTTGTCGGTTCCATACACAACTTTTTTTAAGTTATCAATTTTTCTAGCAACATGGCATTTTTGTAACCTTAGTGAATTTTCATAAAATTTATTATAAAAGATAAACGGATGCCTCTACGACATTGAAACTTTGATGAATATTAAGACTTGTTGTGGTCTTTTTAACCTATGAATTATGGGAAATTTCATCAAAATGAAACTGGTAAAATTGATGTTCACACAAAATTCATATCGTACAAAAATCCCACCTGAAGCTGAATGACACATGTATAGTAAACTGACTTGAAAATTTTATCGCCGCCAAACCAAGAGAACGAGTGGTGGTGGCAGTGAAGGGAATGTATAGAAAAGTCCTAAACAGCCCGTATTTTTATGTTTCGAGTCGAAACCGGGATGTTTTTCGACCGCTAGAACGTAAGCAACGTGTGTGGCAATTTTGTAACCTTGTAACTACATAAACAAATAGTGTTCGTAATGCATTTACTGATAAGCCTTAAAACTTGGCATGGAATGAAAGGGGACGTAAGCCTTTATTTTGAAATAAATCACAACTTATTGCACATAGGTGGAAGAAAAATATTGAGAAGGGTACAAAATGTTACCAAAGTGCCATACTTTGCCTCTAGAGAGAGAGAGAGAGAGAGAGAGAGAGAGAGAGAGAGAGAGAGAGAGAGAGAGAGAGAGAGAGAGAGAGAGAGAGAGAGAGAGAGAGAGAGAGAGAGAGAGAGAGAGAGAGAGTTCGCTGACCAAAACCTGATATAAAATTCCAGCTGTACTAGCCAGGATGGCGTGGATTGGCGTGAGCGAGTTTCGTGTACGTAAAACAATATGGGAAACAACTAGAGTTACGCTTCTGCTCTATCTTCTTTATTCTGTGGCCTAGTTTGGTTTTGCTATAATTTTGTACTGACTACTGTAGTCGGAATATTTAAGATAAGGTATAGATAAACAGACCCCAACCCCTTCCCTAACCAATAAATGTGTAATGAACTATTTGAGAGATAGAAAGGTCGGGGGGAAAAATTTACAAATATTTTAAGAAACATTTCTACGGGGCTGTTTATATGGAAGCATGCCGCCAGGGTGGAAAGTTTGTAGGTTGCGCCGAAGATCTTCGGCGTGGAAAATTCATAAATTTGCTCCATTTT